GCTGGTCTGGGGGCTCCAGCTGCACCTTGCTCCCATTTCCCTATAGTCCAAAGGGCAGCGTACCACACCCATCTTTAGGAAATTCTCAGGCTGCCCATGGCACAACCCTGCTGTTTGGAGGGTGTGAGGGCAGGGCCTGTGGGCAGGGTGTGGAGGCAGAATGCCCCCCCACGAGCCATGGCCCAGGCTGGAGCCTTGCATGCTGCACATGGGACCCAGAGCAGGGGCACTAGTCCCAGGGCAGACCCACTGGTCTAGGCCAGCTGTCTACTGGGGGTGTCAAAAGCCCTCGCTTTGCTGAGCCAGACTGCTTCCAAAGGCTCACAGCCTGATTTCATCCTAGCCAGTGGCTGCCTGGGCACCCCTAGAGTTGAAGGAGGTGGACAGGCAGCCCCTGTGCCTCCCAGTGCCAGGAGAGGTTCCCCAGGCTGGGGCAAGCTACCTGCCGAGTCAACCATGCCGGTCCCTGGGGTCAGGCAGTAACAACAAGTGGGGAGCTGCTCTGCCCCAGTGCTGCAAGGTGCATCCCCTCGGGGGAGCAACCTACACAGAGGTCTCCCCTGGCCCCCTGAATGAGCCTCCCCTCCGCCTCCAGGGCCTGCAGCCTGGGGACTCCCCTCGCCTTTCAACTGGATTCAAGTGCGACGTCCCCGGCCCCGGGGGAGCAGCTCGGGCAGGGCTGGAGGCAGAGGCGAGGCTGCCCACCCGGCCCGGCCCGGCCAGACTGGCTCTGGCGCAGAGCGCAGCGGGGCCGCGTCCGCCCGGGCGGGGGAGCCGCCGGCCTTTTCCTCCGCCCCGCGGGCGGTTGCGGGGCAGCGGAGCGGGTCCCCACCGCCCCAGCTCTTCGGGAAGTGTCCCCGCAGCGCCGGGCGGCGGGGCCGGGAGGCTCCCCGAGCCCCAAAGGTGCGGCCTGGCGTGGGGCTGCGAGCTCCGCCGCCTCTGCCTGCTGCAGGGCCCGCCCGGCCGGAGCCCTCCTCCCGGGGCCCATGTGTGCACAGATGTGGGCGCGCACGGGTGTGCGTGTGTGTGTACCTATGCATGCACGTGCGTGAGTGTGTGCATGTGTGTCTATGCGTGTACGTGTGTACACATAGGTGTGTACCCGTGTGTGCATATGCGTGCACGTGTATGTACCCCGTGTGTGTGTGTGTGTGCACGTGTGCGCGTATGGGGGCCAAAGCTTGCCCCGCGAGGAGCGACCTGCGGGCACCCGCTCGGCACAGGTGGAGGGAGAGGC